CAACACTGTGGTGTGCATCACACTGTATCAGTCATTTTGTCGAGACAGCTGATGGGAAATTATGCCTTGCGGACGCCACCGAAACCTCTTATTTCGTCCGCCAACAACTTGGATAATGGGCCAAATTAGCCGCTGAAGTGAGCCACAGCTTTCAGCATCCTCGCCAGAAGTTCATTACTGCTTCACGAATTTTCTGCTTCGTCCCTTTCCTGCATGCACACCTGCAGCTCTAGGGCCCTTCAAATTGAACTCACAAAATTGTTTGTGAAAGACAGTGTACTATCAGTGATAAGTTCATTTGCAGCTGTTTGTTACAACTCTGTAAGCATTCACCATTCAACTGAAATCCACCTCGTTCAGCGGTAGGATACGGTGTCATCACAAAGGGATTGACAAGGGAATAAGAATTAGCCGTGCTTTGACTTTCGGGGCCTTGTACCGATAGTAAACGTTCTAAGCCATTATTCAAAAACAGTTTAATATCGGGGCATTAGCAGATTTTGCCGTAGGAGCGTATCATTGTGCATTTATCTTTTGTTGTCACCCTCTGTATCGAACCTTGATGTCTTCAGCTCACACCCTGTTCCACGGTGTGTGGAATCACGCTTACATTAGTGCTATGACGGGCGCTTAGAACTTCGTCACTTTCTCTTTCCAACGCCCTCTTACAGATCTTGTTAGTTGTTTTCACTTCCTGTCACCTACCAGAAATCTCCTATCCGGAGATGAGAAGGCGCGACAGGTAGTGCGTTGGTTTCGGCTAGACGTATGCTGGTTGTGCAGGCGTGTTGTATGCCTGTGGCCTATTTCGCTTGCAGGCCTAGGTATAAACGAACATTCAGCTGTCAAAAGTGTTGAGCTCCACTGCGGAGCACTCACTAGTGGTTGAAGTGGAATCCTCCTATAGCTGCTGACCTGCCAACTCGTCTTTCAGTTGGTAGACCATTTCTCTAGGCCTTTATCTTGGTCAGGAGCGGAGCGCTGGGGCCACTTCATGATCGCGGATTTTTTTTCTTGCTATGCTCTGGGTCGCCGGGGTCAGGCAGTATGAGTGTGCCACGGCGCCAAACCCGTTCTCTGCCAGTTGTTGAAGCGGTATGCGACAACAGTTGGTAGAAAACGAGTGATACGAACGATATGATACAGTCTTGTCACTTGCTCGCTTCAAGGGTTTGGCACGCCCCTTCGTGTGCAGAGAACTAGACTATACCTCGCCCATTCTGTGTACCTGAGTAGGGAGTCAATGCGATGAACGACCTGAACACAAAAGCTAAGAGCTAAAC